GCCAGCAAAAATGTCCATGTGAACGCGTTCTGCTTGAGCCGGCTCGAGCCAAGTTCGGCTTCACTAAACCCTCAGGGTTGAACTCTGATAGGGTTGAGTCCCGACATGGCTCTGATCGTGTAAACGCATCAGGGCCCAACTATCGGAGCCGAAATCACGTCCTTGATCGTCTTCTTCAAGTAACCTATCATTTCAATTATGGCGGAGACAACATATTTCGTAATTTCACGCAATATCCGGCTTGAAGAAGAGGTACGCGCCCTAATATACACTTGGCATAGCAAAGAATTACTTCCACTGCAATAGATTGATAACTCAATGAGAAACGGGAAAAATGGCGTACAACATTATGCATCAAAAATTTGAAAGAATGACTGAACGGAAACTTTTTAAAAACACCAAAGAAAAAAATCGTAGAAGCGATCTAGTATGTTTAGATTCTTCCGCAGTCCCTCTATGATATATAGAGAGGATAGAGGGACTGTGATTCTTCATAATACCAGTAGTTTAGATATTACTAACAGTTGAATAATTACAAAATGGTAATTTTGCATGACAATAAATAATAGGTTGTAACACATTTTAGCTGCCGTGTCTGGCAGGTCTCGGCTCTCGTTCAGCTCCCGACCGTATGAACACATTGAAGATAATCTCCTGTTAATCAGTGGGGGGAGCAGTAGTTCGGTTCTGGTAGAATGCTGTCGTGTAAACATACATGTAGCAATTGATGCTTCTGGGGATTAGTGTTATTAGTTTGTAAATAAACTACAAGGGTTTCTGTAATTGAAGACTATACAAGTGATTCGCCTCCTCCAATAAATAATTAGAACTATGAATACCATGGCTCTGTGGAACGCTGTGAATTCCATCTTGTCACAATGTTTCTCTCCAATAATTCACCCAGTGAAATGTCCTACCCAGGGTTTTCCATGCTTGGTACAATATAACAATAGGGTTGCATGAATCCACTTAATACCATTGGTTGACTGTGACTGCAAAGGTAATCGTGATGACAACCAGACATTGGTTCATTTTCCTGTGTCCAGTTCATGGTGGTACTGAGCAGCATGCCCGTTCACAGGCTGCCAAACAGACAAAATCCACCAAAGTTTACAGGGATCTGGGACTTGGACAATACAAATTTTATATTTAGTTTAAAGCTCTTTGTCAGTTACAGCATTATATGGCATAATCTCATTTTTAGTCCCCGTTCGGACGTAGTCCGAAAACGGGGACTTATGTTTTGCCCTGTGTGCGTGCGTGCGTCCGTCCGTGATCATCTGTATCTCAAACATGCATGGACCGATTAAGTTCAAACTTCACTCATATATCACACATTATATGGGACATATGCACATGCATTTTTTTCATGATCCGATTAACGATCGCCGAATAGCGGCCATTTTTAAGGCCGAAAATGCATCAAAATCTCACATTTTCACCATTCCGGATCCGGATCTCCGTTATGCATGGACGGATTTTGTTCAAATTTGGTACATACATTAAACATAATAGGACCTTGATGCAGGTCATTTTTTTTTTTGGATCGGGTTTGAAATGGCCGACTGGCGGCCATTTTGTTTTAAAGAATTCAGTTCTGGATCCATATCCGAGACGTGTCTGGATTGATCAAGTTCAAACTTCACACACACAAGGTACATCATGTCACAAATATGTATGTGCATTTGTTTCATGATCTCAATAACGATAGCCAAATGGCGGCTGCTTTAAGGCCGAAAATGCATTGAAATCGCACATTTTCACCATTCCGAACCCGGATCTCCGTTATGCATGGACGGATTTTGTTCAAATTTGGTACATACATTAAACATAATAGGAACTTGATGCACGTCATTTTTTTTCAGATCAAGTTTGAAATGGCCGACTGGCGGCTATTTTGTTTTAAAGAATTCAGTTCTGGATCTGTATCCAAGACATGTCTGGATTGATCAAGTTCAAACTTCACACACACATGGTACATCATGTCACAAATAGATATGTGCATTTGTTTCATGATCCGCTTAACAATAGCTGAATGATGGCCATTTTAAGGCCGAAAATGCATCAAAATCACGTATTTTCACAATTCCGGAACCGGATCTCAGTCATGCATGGATGGATTTTGTTTGGATTTAGTACAATGTGTTGTACATAAGACGGTGCATTTCGATCATGATCTGCTTTGAATGTATATGTCACTCAAATATGAACGGAACAGGGACGTGTCATTGACAATGACTTGTTTAAGATCTTGATTTGATTTTCATCAAGTGTTGTTCCGTCTTGAAAGAAAGCGACATGTACGCCAGTGCGATTTTTTTTTTAATCAACGCTGAATTCCAGAGCTTATATACGCTATATAAACCACGTACGTCCATATGATGCCATATCTTACAGTGTCTTTATCCACAATCTGTAAAAATTACAAAGTTCAATCATAACAATGACAATTCTCTCAGTACAGTACTCCCAGTTGTCCCACATTTCCGTTGAATAAATGATACACAAATTTTATGCAAATATTGATTTATTTTCTTACTGCTTCATGTGGTGTTACCTTTTGTTTTAGACAAATTTAAATACCATGAAAGACTCGGACAGCTCAAAACCACGAAATTAAACACAAGAAAATAAATGTCGACTTGAATTGACTTGCAATTCAGAATAAAGTGGTTTCCAAAATTGTATCAACATGAAATAATGCATGCATATCACATCCCCACGTAATTACGCTGTGACAGGTGGTCAAAATATGCCATTTCGCAGAGTGACCCTGCGATCCTTTCGCAGAGTG